GATAACAAATGATAATAAGAAACCAGTTGGTTCAACTAAGTGCAGAGGTTAGATGTAAGAACATATAATCATTTTCTCCCATGGGATATACAACAAAAGATGTCAGTCATTTGTATATTTTAGTAGTTTAAGACATAATACTCTCTTGAGTAAATGATTAACTATGACTGAACACATATAAATCATTTTTGTTTTAAATAAAATGATTAAATTTTTTTCTTTCGTAGATCCTTGAACTGTAGGATAGTATTATAAAAAGAATAGGCTTAGGATTTTCTCAAAATCTTCTATTTCACTAAAAAAAAACATAATACATACAAAAATCTGTCAATATAACGGCAGGGTATGTTTTGATTTGTCTTCTATTTTCAACGTGCTTACACATGTTCCTCTAATGTTTTTTGTGTATACAAAGTCTGTGGTTTCTAACCGATGTCGTTCTCGTCTCAATAGTATTGATGTAGTTAAGATCGATTGACAAAAATTGGCTACAACGATTGATGTTATTAGGATATTAGTGTTTTTCCGCTTTCTCTCTCGCTGTCTGTCTCATAGTCTTTTGTTATCGTTTTACAAACACAAGCTATGTGTACACACGTACAAGAGATCTTGCTCACATAAATATTCTCAATACTATGATAGACATACATGAAGAAGATAAGCGCAAAAGAGATCATTATGTTTCCGAAGTGATATTTATTATGGTACGAACAATATAAAAATTGTTAATCGATAAATAGTAAAAAAATGATTTTTCTTATCGGTAAGTGTTTTTTCTATTTAAAAATCTAAGATTAATAGATGAAGAAGCATAATCTTCTTCTTTTACGTACGATTTATTAATGATATTTATTTATATGTAAAAAAAATGATTTCCTGTTGTTCATTATATATATATCAAATAATAAATCTTTAAAAATTTTTTTTATTTATTTTTCTTTAGCCTCGATTTGACGCGTCGATTTATTTTCTCAACATATCATTTCTTGGCTCTTAAATTTTCTTTTTATTCTTATTATTATTACTATATCAATCAAGATATATTACAAATTTACTTAACCGATCGTTTTGTCTTGTTCTTTTTTATTTCAAATCTAAATTTTACAAAATTACTATTATATTACATCGAATAGAATCATTCTATTTTATTTCTATCAAGGTGAATAACCAACAACCTTGAACAAACATAAATATATACATATATATATATATTTATTTATTTATTTCTGTTAATACATTATCAAACCTATTCTTATAAATCTTTCATTGTATTTAATCAACCATTAACGTGTGTGTGAATACATCACAGAACAACCAACATTAGAACACTGTAAAAAAATAAAATCGTGTTCTAGTTATAATATTCTGTACAATTTTACACAACAACACCCAATATACATAATTTATTAAAATATATAAGGTAAATAAGTGACAAAAAACTGCATTGACATTCAACATAGCTTTGAGACTATATGTTAATGTACTCTTTTATGTATATTTTGTATAGATCAGGACAGAAAGGAAAAGTCAGAGATAATTATAACGGTTTTGTTCTTTTATTGAAGTATCGAAAAATATTTTTGTTTATCAGAATATATATCTATTAGATGTTGAGTAGTGTCCTCTATCGATTATATCATCAATCATATCTAATATTTATGCGTTGATATTTGTCAATTATGATATATCTTCATTTATTTTTAGAAGAACAAGACGAACGTATCAACTTAATTGTATATACTCGAAAATTTTCTTAATTAACGAGCAAAACAATTCAAAAAATTAAAATTTCATATACGAGAAGAATATCCGTAAGTAATCATCGTTTTTATTGAAGCATAAAATAAATAAATAGGTATCATACTAAGGTTCAAAAAAAGAATATTTTTGGTAAATAATTCATACGATTAATATTTTTCAAATATCTCATATAACAGCTTGTATTAGTCAATCATCATCTTTCCTGATTATAAGACAGACAAAAGAGAAAGAAATAATTATATTGTAATGTTTTATGTCTATGTTTTCTATGGATATTGTACGATAACTATCCATTGTTAATATGACATCAATCTATTCATCGTTTTGACGTTATGTTTGTCTCTCATGCATGTGTGTATTTACGGATAATTTGTGTGCGCCTTTCGCTCGTTTCTATTCATTTACATGTTTTGTACATATTGCTGTCGTATTTACAGCAAACTTTGTCATTAGTCATATACATATACATATATAGAACAGAAGGTAAGATAATTAATATATGATTTCTTTTGAGAAACTACATGTTAATTAAATAATACAAAGATGAATTGTTATGTTATTATATATAGAATACGATTGTAATTTATCTAGGGAATAGTTATGATCTCTCCACCTTCTTTTCTATTTTTCTTTATGAATTCTCATGAGTATTTTCGATCATTAGAATACTCAATGAGATATATTTATGAATCGTTTGGTTCAATGTACTCACACAATCAAACAGAATGATTCTCTAATTGAATTAATCTTACTTGTCACCTTAGATTTCAAAAATTTACTTATATTGTATAGACATGATCATAGCACTGTCATGTAATTTGTATACAAAATAGAATGATTTCAAAAGAGAAAAAAAGTAATTGTTTGAGAAAGAAAGAGGCGGGTAACATCTGTACGTTAGTTTTTTTTCTTCTTTTTATCTAAATAAAACACAAAGAATGTAAACTATTGATTCAAGTCATACAACTTAACTATCCAAGTGAAACTAAAGCAGCATTTGTTAAATATAACAAATTAATAGCAGTCAAGCTGTTACTTATATATTACCAAGGTCTCCTTATCGACATATATTTTTTTCGCTTCGAAATAAAAAGTAATTTCCCTTCAAATCAAAAAGAAATGAAGTGTTATAATATCTTTTGTTTTCAAGTGTAAATATACTTCAGGCTCATTTTTTTTCTATTTACTGACAAGGCACTACAAATCAAATATACATATATGCATATATGTCTTATTACATGGAAGACTTCATTTTTTTTTCTATTAATGAGAATATACATATATATATTTATTGACTTCAATAGATCAATTGTAGTAGTGTGAGAACAAAAAAAATATGGCACAGAGGTATTGACCAGGTGACCATTACATGACCTTTACTGACAACAATCTCATGCATGTCTGTTCCGATTATATCTACATTTCTAATGGACTTCCGTCATAAATATATATATATATATATATATGTAGAAGAAGAAAAAAATAATCTTGCAGATGCATCATCAATAGATTAACCGACCCATCCCCTCCTACACACACACATACAAAAAAACCGCCGAAATTCAATGAGACTTGCGAGTACACACAGAAGTTATGCGTCTGCATTCCATCTTCCGTCATATAAAGGCAATAATACCAGTATATGCGGCGTATTATTTCTGCTTGATTCGAATGACAGACATGTTCTCAGACAATCGATAGTAACACCTCGCGTGTGAATCTATGATTATATATGCAATCTGCTATAATAATGAGAACAGCAGGAATAAAAAAAGAAATGAGAAATGCCAATTGTTTGATATGTATTTTTATATATATATACGATTATATCATCAATATCATTGTTTGCTATAAATATATGTTTGTATCATTGAAGACTTTTTTTTTGTGTGTCATTGAAATACCAATATAAAATAGATTTATAATCGATAATAATAATAATTATGTTCTATGCTTAGAAAAAAAAAGTGAGAATGACAAACTTGTCGTCTTTAATTATATCCATATAATACACAAAAATCCATTTGCTATTCTATTATCGTCTATGTTTATACTTGACACAAGGACTTATGCTTGTGTACATTTATCATTGCAAAGACACTTGTCGCATTTTTTCTGCTCTGTTGCTATATGCCTACACAGATGTTCATTATATATACATCAATAAATAGGATAGATCGTGCTTACTATCGAGATTATGAGAAAGGGAGAAAAAAAGCAGAGGAGAGGAGATGATGATGATGATGCCTTTCCATTTACATAAGAACAACAACAACAATTAATTTTCTCTCATCGATCTTTCGGCATACTTAGATGTTCTAGAGTTACGATAGACACGATTGAGGAAAACGACCTTCGTTCCAATCCATTCAGTCTCTACGTAACCTAATCGGCACATTTGATCATAGAATATTATCATCATCATATTTCGATCGACTGAAATAAGCAATATGTTTGTAAAAGAAAGAAAAGTATATTATCAGTCTCTTTAGTTCTATTCTTTGAGTGTTTCTGAAAAATAAATGTATTTTCTTTTTTCTATTGTGTTAGTTCTTTTTTTCTTGCATTAATGGAAAAGCTATCCTATCAATGAACATGGAAAGCAATGACGTTGTCGTTGAGTTCTTTTTTCCTTATTTCTTTTCTTCTATTTTTAACTAAAACACAATGCGATAATAGGCGGACGCTTTTGCCACACGAACTAGAAAAAAAGACCGAGAACATGCGAATGTCTGCAGCAAAAAAGTAGTGATGTATAAAAGAGAAAAAGAACTCTCATTCTGCTTCGTTGTCGTCTTCTTTCTTCCTCTTTTTTTTCCATTGCCATCGGTCGGTCGCTTATGAGTTGTCTTCTTCTTTTTTTATTCAACAGCAACAAAAAAAAAGGAAAAGAATAAGAAGAAGAAGAAGAAGAAGAAGAAGATTCCAGTCCTACTACACACACACACATACAGACGATGCCAACTTTGACATTTAAAAAATGTTTTTCCTCTCTCCCTATTTTTCTCTATGCTTTCTCTTTATTATTGTGTGACGAACAAGTTTTTTGCTCTCTTTCTTTCTCCTTCTCTCTCTCTCCCTTTCTCTTCTTTTCGATGTTATTTCAGACAGAATCATAGCAGTAAAGCGCTACTGCCACCTTTTTCCTTTACTCGTTTGATACGTCCATGCGTCGTCTTTTATGGTCTAGAATATAAAGACATATCCATATTCATCAAACGAATAGATCGACGCACACGATGGGTTGTTCAAACGCTCGTCTACTAGTACAAGCACCAATGAATGCTGAACCCGGTGCAGCACCAACTAATCCATTACCAACCACATCATTAGCAAATACTTCTGCTAATGTTGCAACTGATACGAATAATAATTCAGCAGCAACAACAACACGAATGCATTTAACAGGAGTTGATCTTGTTGTGGAAAGAAACGGATCGTATACACTTTTATTAACACCCAAAACTCATAAGCAACTAATGCCTTATGTATTACGAAAAAAACGTTTTCGGTAAGATACATTGATATTGTTGATAATTATTATAATGATTGCATTTTTTATTCGATGAATGAATGAATGAATGAATAAGAAAAAGAAAAACTTAGTGAAGTATACATTGAAACTTCATATGCGTGCTTGCACGCATAGCGTATTGTTAGTCAATCAAATTAGTTGCTCGAGAGGAAAGAACGATTCGTATGTATTGGTTCACATTTATTTTAAACTCACTTATGTGATGCGCGAGTGCATGTATGTACGTATGTATGCACGAATCCACTTAAGAAGTATTAGAGAATTGGTTATATGTTGTATATATATTGAAATAGAAACTTTTAAAAGAAAAATGAATGGTATAATAACAACCACCAGTTTATGTTTTCGCGGTTCATTATATTATGACGATGTCACATCATCATACAGAATAAAAGAGTTTTTGCTTCTACATGATTGCTATTTATACCTTAGTAAAAATAACAAGAGGAAAAAAGAAAAAAACAAGATCGGTTCATTTTTTGTGTGGCTGCTATTATAAATGTAAATAATATTGCATTTTGAGGTGAGGGTAGATGATTTCCGGTAAAATGAATATATTGGCTGATTTGAGAATTGCTTTAGTCCCATGAGATTAACACAAAGCACATTAACCATTCTATAATCTATTTCTACTATGATTGATTTTTCTTGTCAAACATTTATTTTTACCAGAAAAAAAAAATATTTTTATTTTTCAAAAATCTAAATCCGATCAATGATTTCATGTTTCTTAATCGCCTTTTTTTCATATATAAGTAATTTATCTATTAATTTAATCTGATATTCCCTTGATGTCAATTGAATTTTTTGTCAATATATAGAAAAATTTTTTTCCTTTTCTGTTACTATTACTTGAAAGAGCGAGCCAGATGTCGCTTTACACACATTTCCAAGGATAATAACCAAACATTTCTTTTATGTATTTCTTATAAAATTTGATTAATATGAATAAAAGCTAACCTTGTATGAACCTATTTATTACATTCATTGACTTCATTAATAGCAAAATGATGGTGCCAAATATCATTAACAATCATGACACAAGGATTCTTATTTATAATTGATTTCTTTTGTTCATATATTTAGAATTCTCGTTGATAAACCTCGCTCTGACCCAACAACAACAAATCTTAATGAGCCAAATCTTAATGAACAAATTATGGAAAATAATAATACTAAATTAATTTCTACTAAAAAAGATAAAAAAACTAAAGATACTTCAATGGAATCAACAATTGAATCTATTGAACAAGTTGCATCAGATGAATTAAATAAAGTTAAAGCACGATTTATTGGTGGTCGAAGTATTGATCGTGGTAATCCAGAAGATGATGATACAAATATTCAATCAGATGATGAAGGTATGATTGAAGAAATAGTTACAACTGTTGAAGAAGATAAAGATCTTGAATGTAAAATTAAAAAGAAAATTGAAACAAAAAAAACAATTGCACAAGATCCTGAAACACATAATACAATAACAAAAGTTGTTAAAACTGAAGTGACTGAAATAACACGTACAATTACAATTAATGATCAACATGATCTTGCAAGAGCTAAACGTGAACTAGGTATTGATGATGTTAATCGATTTTTACCATCATCTTCATCATCAGCATGGTCGGAACATTCACATGTTATCGAAGTAAAAGAAAAACGTTACGAACCAATTAATGAAGTTGTTACATCAAAAGATTTTCCATCGGATAGTCCAATTAAACAAACTCAACTGGAAGAAAAAAAACCAGTTTTAGCCGAATCAACATTAGTTGGACGTGGTCCAGTTGCCGAAACTCTAACAGCAACAGCTTCTGCTTCACAACAACAACAACAACAACAAAAGCCAATTGAAATAAAGAAAAAAAAGAAAAAATCGAAACTTTGTTCTTGTACACATGCAGCTGATGATGAAAAACATGATAAACCAATGCCTGTTGAACAAATAAAAGCAAGTTCTCCTATAACAACATCACCACCACCAGCAATCAATATTAATAAATCATCGATTGAAGCACAAATGCAAGGTGAATCATTAATTTCATCCGATATGAAACAATTGATAATTGATAAAAAATTTCTATTAATTGAATATATACATTCAAAAATTTTTTTACCATCAAAATTATTCTCATCAAATGAAAATGATATTAAAGCAAGAAAAATTTCATCACGTATACTTGATTTATTACGATATGATCGTTGTTCATCATGGACACAAATGTCTGAACAATTAAAAGATGAATATTCTCATTATTTATCAAATAATAATTTATCTCTTGAATCAATGATAAATACATATAAAAATTTATTTACTATTAAACAAGCTAATTTATTAAATACATTTTCAACAATACATAATGAAAATGATGTTAAAAATATACATGAAAATAATAATGATTATCTTAATATTGTACAAACATATCTTAATGAACAAGATAATCAACAAAATTCTATTGAAATACAACAATCAAATGATAATAATGAACATGCACTTGAATCCTTACAAGAAGAACAACTTGAAAAAGGTATTTATTTAATCAATGTTTATATAGAGAATATTGATCTTTCATTGAAATCTATCTGTATATGTATATATATACATATATATGATGTTTGATAGATTGATATTAACCTTGATGCTTAGTTGACTTTTCCCTTAGCATAACATCCATTATATATAACGAGACGAAGATCCTTCCTTATACATTTTTCAGGCTAGAGAGATAAATCAAGTAAAGAAAATAGATAATCGGCATAAGTTTCCCATTGGATCCCTTTTTTTTTCTTCTTTATATTTGTAGTTACATCATTATGGCTCATTGAGTATATAGTTAGCTGTCTATCATAGCTTGAGGTTAATAGTCTTACCATTTTCTTTTGCTATTACAGACAAAATATAAACTAGAAAAAATAGCCACAACTAGGCCATTCAGTTATCACAATTATCTTAATGATGAACGTCCATCATTCTGTCATAATCAATTAACAAGTTACGAGGTAAAATGAGAAGACAAAAAGGGACGGATTCCATTCCACATTGATTTAACATGAGAAGAGAAAAGGAAAGGTCGTGTTTTATTTTATTGATGTGTATATACAACTTATATTGACGCGACCATTGGGCAAACATTAAACACATTGATGACAGATGCGTGTGTACAATAATATTGTTTATTTAAGAACCGATGATTAAATGATTGAATAGGAGAAGAAAAAAAAAGAAAAAGAAATTTGTTCGTCTATACATGTGAATAGCTTAGCTAGACAACATATCTGTTAACATACAATGAGATTTCGAAGGCGTTACGTTTTATCTAAGTGGCATTGGATGCCGTCGAGACGATATTCTAATACTCTTGGTAAGTATAAATAGACTAAAAAACAAATTTTCTCACCTAACTCCCAAATGATAACCGTTAATATTCTATATCCTATAAAATCTTTCTTTCTTTCTAGTACCGAATGATAGTGAACAAGCTATTAATGATTCAATAGATAAAAATCAAGAGGAAATTTCACCAAATTATAATGAAGAATATTTAACTAAAATGCTTGCTGATATATCCCAACATAAACCAATAACATTAGCTGAAGCAATAGCATATGAATATATTGATATTGAAGATCCTAAACTAGGTTTATCGAATGAAACCAAACAATCAATAAAAAATTTATTTCATCCATTATCGGATGAATCAATATCAAATTTAATTCGTGTTAAACGTTCAGGAGAATATATAACCGATATTAATCTTGCTGAAATAAATCCATTTGAAAAATTTAATCGAACTGAACCATATATTTATCAATTACAACAATCATTTGAACCAACATTAGATTTTAGTGAAAAACAATTTCGTTCATTAACGGATGCTATACTAAAAAATAAAGAAGAATTTGATCAATTACAATTTGATATTGGACATACATCATTACCATTATATGATTTAAAAGATTTATCAATAAATGATATCAGTCAATCAGATTCCGGATATTCAATGACAACAGCAACACATGAAAGTTTAGCAAGTAAAATAAAAATTGAATTTGAACCAATTCATCAAGATGTATCAATCATATCAAAACAAGATGATGTAGGTGAAGATGAAAAAATTGATCTAGATAAAGCAACACAAGAACAATTAAAAAAATATGAACTTAATCATGATTTAATTCAAATAATTAAAACTGATTTTAATGGATCGGATAAAGTAATGAAAATTTCTTTTTTTTGAAATATTCTTAATTTTTATTTTTTTTTAAATAGACTGTTGGTCAAGCAATCTTATCACGTGAATTACGTTTAGATAGTACAGATCCAAATGATATATCCTATTTAAAATCATTAGGTATTCATAAGGAACAAATAAGAATATTGAATGCACTTTTCTTTCCAAAACATTCACGTATAATTGCATATTCACCAGAACCAGGTCGATTTGTTGAAGCACAAACAACATATAATCCTGATTATGCTGGATATAAAACAGATACAACTATAATACAAATTCAAGAAAAACAACTTTCATCAGATCATCATGCAATGCAAAGAAATATTCATGATGATCGAACATCACCAGTTCTATCGCAACAAATAATAACATCAGAACCAGAAATAATTGTTTCTTCTCCATTACCAATAATAACAACTCAAGAAATTATTTCAACAGTAGTTAGTCAAGAAAAACCAATATTATTACCATTATCATCATCACCACCACCTGCAGCACCAGTTTCTTTGAAAAAACGTAAATCAAGTGGTCATCATAGTTTATTATCTTGTTTTAAAAGTAAAAAACCGAAAGCTGGAACAGAACAACAAGGTCAATCACCTGTAAAACCAACAATACTTGTTAGTGAACCAAGTAGTCCACAAGAAGCAATGAAATCTTTTAACGAAAGAACTACAACTGATTATTCAATTTTACCTGATGGTAAACGTATTTATATTGATGCTTTTCGAGATCGACCTGGTCTTGATATGTCTTATAAACCAAATGATTTTGAAACTCGATTTGTTCTACCAATTGTAAGACTAATTCTCTTCATAAATTCTTAATTTAATCTGTTTTTTTTCTTCTTCTTTCGTTAGACAAAAGAATCATCTGAATATGGACAAGAATCAATTGCATCTGATTTTGAACAAATTCTTGTTCATTCTGAAATGACTGAAGAAAATATAGTACCTGTTCAAAGTGATATTATTGAACATGAATCTATTCCTCAACCAGAAATAATCGAATCAAGTGAAGTTCAACCTGAGATAATTGAACAAGTTGAAGAACAAGCAGAAATTATTGAAAAGGAAATTGAAATTCAACCTGAAATTATTCAACGAGTTGAAGATCAATCGGAAATTATCCAACAGGAAACTGAAATTCAACCAGAAATAAAAAGTGAAGTTCAATTAGAACCTCATCCAGTCATAATTGAAGAATCGGTTCATATTCAATCAGATATACATGAACTTAAAACTCCAGTTCATTTAGAACCTCGTCCACCAACAATTGTACCCGTCGATGCTCCAATTGAAAAAGTACCAATTATTATTTCACCTAAAAAATCTGAACCTATTACAGTTACAAAAAAACCCACAATTGATTTACATGGAGCAGCTGTTGTTCTACCAGAAGTTCAATTAGTTAAACCTGGACCATTACCCACATTATCAATAACAAAAGGAAAGAAATCAACTGGTGGTTTATGTGCATCTTGTTTTGGTTCGAAATCTGCAGAAAAAAAGAAGAAACAACGTCATTCAAAAACAGTTTCAGCACCTATTGAACAAAAGAAAAGTATTGTTGAAGAAAATATACCACAAATTATTGAACCATCATCAATACCTTTAATTCAAAATGATAGACCTATTTTACCTAATGTTAATATTGATCAATATAAAGAACGGGATTTTCAAAAGAGTTATGAGGTAAAAATAAAAGAAAATTTCGTATAAATATAAATTGTTTTTCGTATAGTCACTTCCAAAATCAGAAGATCGTTTTGCTACAACTGTACGATCAAATCTTGAACAACATCATCAATCATCTTCGAATGAACATGTACCAACATCATTATCAACTACACCTACGATCGAATCACCAACAAAACTATCTGCAACTCCAATAGATACAACAATTTTCTCTCGAATTAATATTGATTCGTTCAAAGAACGAACATTTGACAAGAGTTTCGAGGTAAAAATTAATCCTATAAGTATTTAAAGTATTTTAATCTAATTTCTTTGTAGAGTTTACCAAAGTCACAAGAACGTCTGAATGCAACGGAAGAACCTCGTTATCAAGTAATAGTTGATAATGAAGCAACTGCACCACCTGTAATACTATCGAACAAAACCGATGCATCTTTATATACGAAAGTAAATATTGATTCATTCAAAGAGCGAACTTTCGACAAGAGTTTCGAGGTAAAAATCAATTCGATAATTATCTAAAATATTTTCATCTAATTTCTTTGTAGAGTTTACCAAAATCACAAGAACGTCTGAATGCAACAACAGTATCAGAAGAACCTCGTTATACAGTAATAGTCAATAATGAGTCAGTTTCAGAACTAGTATCAAATAAAACTGATCCATCTTTATATACGAAAGTAAATATAGATTCATTCAAAGAACGGGTTTTCCAAAAGAGTTTCGAGGTAAAAATCAATCCTATAATTATTTAAAATATTTTTATCTGATCTCATTATAGAGTCTCCCAAAATCACACGAACAGTTGAATGCAACAACACCCTCTGAAGAACCTCATTATCAATTACCAACGAATGAAGTTCTATCATCCCTACCAGTTCAATTACAAACAACAGATAATTTATCTACACCCTCAAAAGCAAATATTGATACATTCAGAGAACGAACTTTTCAAAAAAGTTTTGATGTAAAAATACAGAAAATTTATAATATTACAATTATGTTTAATCTAATTTCTTTATAGAGTCTCCCAAAATCACAAGAACAGTTAAATATTATATCAACACCCGAGGAACCTCATTATCAATTACCCACTCATGAGATTGTATCACCACCGGTAGAGATACAACTCACAAATAGTTCATCTAAAAATTCAAACACAAATATTGATACATTTAAAGAACGAACTTTCGAAAAAAGCTATGAGGTGAAAAAAAGAAGAAATGAAAATTAATCCTATAATTATTTTATCTTTTCTGCAGAGTTTACCAAAATCACAAGAACGTTTAAATGCAACTACACCATCCGACGACTCTCATCATCAATTACGACTTAATGAACCCGTATCACCCCCAACAAAAATACAATCAACGGATAATTTAGCTACATATTCAAGTGTCAATATTGATTCATTCAAAGAACGAACTTTCGATAGAAGTTTTGAGGTAAAAATACAAAAAATTTACAATAATAAAATTATGTTTAATATGATTTATATAGAGTCTACCAAAATCACACGAACGACTTAATGCAACAACACCCTCTGAAGAACCTCGTTATCAAGTAATAGTCAATAATGAGTCAACTTCAGAACTAGTATCGAACAAAACTGATGCATCTTTATATACGAAAGTAAATATTGATTCATTCAAAGAACGAGTGTTTCAAAAAAGTTTTGAGGTAAAAATCAATCCTGTAATAACTTTATGTATTTTTTCATCTGATTTCGTTATAGAGTCTCCCAAAATCACAAGAAAAGTTGAATGCAACAACACCCTCTGAAGAACCTCGTTATACAGTAATAGTTAATAATGAGTCAACTTCATCCCCAGTTCAATTACAAACAACAGATAATTTATCTACACCCTCCAAAGTTAATATTGATTCATTTAAGGAACGAACATTCGATAGAAGTTTTGATGTAAATATAAAAATTTATTATAATTACAATTCTATTTTATTTTATTTATAGAGTCTCCCGAAATCACACGAACGCCTGAACGCAACAACACCCTCTGAAGAACCTCATTATCAATTACCCGTCGATGAACCTATTCAATCCAATTCAATAAAAAAATTCACTCCATCAATCCCATTTGACCCATCTATCTATTCAACAGTGAATATAGATTCATTTAAAGAACGAACATTCGATAAAAGCTTCGAAGTATAATCAAATTAAAACATTTTCTAATACTATTTTCATACTATCTATTTTTATCTAGAGTCTTTCGAAACAAAAAACTCATTCAGATAAACCTATTGAGAATGAATATTCAGTAGCTGAATCAAGTACTTATGATAACCTTCAACATCAAAAAATCACACCATCTATTGAAATAAAAACAAACGAAAAAGTAAGTTATAATTGATTCTATTTCACATATCATTAATCATTTTTAACACTCAATATGAATGTATGACAGATGAAAAGAAAGTCATGTTATATACTAGACAATATGACAGGTATTATTAACAAGTATTAAAAGAAGTAATCAATATAATATAAACAAAACATAGGAAGACTATGATAAGAAAAAAAAGAGTAGTCTAATATATTATTCTCTCTTAGTTCATTAGAGAGAAAAGAAACACGTGTTTTAAAATGCGCGAAATAATGACTAGTTTGAATTTTTAAAATTTTATATTATAGATAATCAACAGCAATATAATGATTCCTCCTTCAACTGATATACAAAAGTCGAGTGGTGATTTTCATTCAATTGAACATAAAGAAAGTCAAATGAAAGGTTCAACATCACTTCCAGCTAAAAAGAAGAAACATAAAAATGAAAAAAAATCTGGTATATTTTCAACATTTTTTCGTCAAAGTGAACGAAAATCAAAAATACCAGCACTTAATTTACCTCCTATTGAACGTGATTTATCACCAAATAATCCAATACATCAATACGATAATGATCCATTACATATCCCATCAATTGATTTACCTAAACTTGATCTTCCATTACCAACATATGATCGACCAGAAGTTAATATGACAACTGGATCGATTCAATATTCATCTGAATTTTCTATTCCAACTGTTAATTTACCATCCATACCTAATTTAGAATTACCCGACAATACTAAACAATTCACCGAATCTAATACTGATCCTATGAAAATTCCTCATATTCAATTACCTGAACTTCAATATACATTAAATGAACAAGATACCCATAAAAAATTACCCGAAGTACAATTAAAAACATCCAAAATTGATATCAATCACGAACCAACTATTGAAACTGGTTTAGCATTAGCTTCACCAGTCGAGGATTTGTTAAGTATTCAAACTGATCATAAAAATTTTCCTATTGAAACAGATTATGCTATTAACCCAGAAACAATATTACCTCATCATGTAGAAATCCTTCCTTCAATTCAAGAAAAACTCCACATTACTGATAAACAACAATCAGAACTTCCATTATTTATTCAGGTAAAATTTTTTACTATTATTTTTATTTTTTTTATTATTTTTGTTTATTTAGAATGAAACCAATCCAGAATTTAATTTTCAATTACCTTCATCAGAACCCATTCTTTCCTTATCCAAAGATTCTAAATCAATTCCACCATCATTCGATGATGATATACCATCAGTTCCATCAAAAATTGTTCCAGCAATTCAATCTCCTTTAAAACAAATTATCGAACCAAAACCCGACATCAAAAAGAAATCTTCATCACTTGCATTATGTTCATGTTTTGGTGATAAATCAACAATAGCAAATGAAACAAAATCATCTACCCTTCAAGCACCAAAAGCGGATTTACCCGAAGTTAAGATGCCTATTCCATCATCAAATGTATCATCAACATTGAAAACAAAAGGAATATTACGTGCACCAAGTACTGATTTACCACCCGTCGATTTAACATTAACATCAGTTGATTTACCAACAATTCATACAGAAAATAAAAAAATAAAATCAATAAATGAAACTAAAAGTCCAATTCCTCTAGAACAACGAATAAATATCAAATCTGATATTCTATCAACATCTGGTATTGACAAACAAACAACAGAAGATATTAAAGTAAGATTTGATAAAATAACTTTCTAGAATTTCAGTAATGAATATACATAATAACCATTAGTCAAATACAAATAATAACATAAGATCAAAGTTCTTTTACTTATCTTTGTTTACATTAACAAATAAGAGATAATATCTCGAAATGGAAAATGTCATAGATAATATCGAGAGTTTTGAAAGAAATAACATTTCTTTTTTTGCATTATGATGCTTGTTAAGTAATGCTTTTGTCATATGATATTATCAAATATCCATATGTGCTAAATAAACAAACTTTGTATCTTTAATTCTTAAGTCATATTAAATATCCATACGTTTTTTTCCGTATATATTTTGTTTTTAAAACTAACCTTATACTATTTATTTAGAATATCTCTGTTCAATCACCATCATTTGTAATCACAACACCTGAAATTAATCTATCTGATACAAATCTTTCTTTATCAATACCTGAACAAATTCAATCCACTTCTGATAGTGGTCTTGAAGCTATTATGTCGTCACATATGCATCCATCATCAACATTTGATACAAATGCAACATTTGAAGATATTCAACAACATCCATCAATTAGTTCAGGTTTAGGTAGTGAAATATTAGATAATATACAAGCGAAAGGTTATTCATTACCGGATATAAAAACTCCTGAACCAACACTTATACCAAAATCTATTGAAAGTAATAATTTTAATAAATATGATTTTACACGTAAAATAACAATGAATGATGATACACATGCAAAATTTCTTTTTCGACAAGATCAATTGAAAACATGTTTAGAAATTGAAATATCAAAATCAATTGAAAATTTTGATGGAAAAAAAGATCAAAAAACATTGGATAAAATTCTTCATCAAGCTATGAATTTAATTAAAGATAAAAAAGTATCAACATATCCAGAATTAAAACAAAAATTACTTATTGAACATAAGAATGATGCATTTATTATTGATCCTGTTGTACGTTCACTTTATTATGCTATTGAAAATCAAGGTTTAGAAAATTTAGATAAACCAGAATTTCCATTAGCTATACGTGATGTAAGCAAAAAAAAGAAAAGATGATTAATGATTTTTCTATTGTTGTATATTTTTTCTTTCTATTACAACAGATGGTACGTCTTCCGGCCAAACAGACATTTGACACAGTTACATATTTGAATAAAGAAACAACGCCATTATCTACAATACAAATGACAAAGTAGGTTATTAAAGACGAAAAAGAAATTCTCTAAATGGAATGTGAAGGTGATTTGAGATAAAAATTTTTCATCGAAGATGATAGAGATGTTATGCTAACCTTCTAGAAAAGAATGTCTTATTTGCTTTCTAATTGATATAGAAGTATGAATTCGAATGTATCAGCTTGTAAGATGACTGTTATAGATGACGCTATTCTAACCGGAACAGTATTGTATTGTTAATCAATTTAAATTTTCATGAGTAAAAACTATTGATTTAATAATCTTGCACTTTACATAGGAAGTCAATCTATAAATACATATCAGTTTACATAATAGCAAAGAAAGAATATAATCATAGTTCAATTAAAATAACCATACATACTTTTTCTCACATTTTTGTTTTCTCTAGAGAAACTTCTGCTCCCGCTACGGACATAACCATTGATAATAAATCAAGTGAACCAATTGATACAAAACGTTCTTGTTTAACATGTGGTCATTCAAAATCAAAAACTAAAATACCATCAACAACAACAACAACAACATCAACATCGATTGGTTTACTTGATGAACGTCGTCGTTCACAATTAAATACACATCGAAATGAATTAGGTAATATTCTTCGTGATCATATTCAATCATCACAACCACCAATTAGAAAATTTGCTGATCATCCAAAAGAATCGGAAAAAATTGTCCGTAAATGTTTAACACTTATAACACAACCAAAAATTCATACCTATGAACAAATTCGTAATGATTTAAAAACCGAACATAAACAAACATTTTATCTTGTTGATCCAACAGTTGATATTATACGTGATACATTTGATCATTGTGATATAACACAAATGAATGAAAAAACTAATCTTAATATCTTAGATTCAAATATAAGTCAAACAGCTAAATTATATAATAATCAAACAAATTTATTAACACCAGATGAATTTAATGCATTTAAATCTAATCAATTATCATGGTTACAACAATATTTAATTGATAAAGAATTAAAAGAAAAAAAATTAACAAAAAAACAAACAAAAGAATTAAATAAGATTATAAATCGTAATATTGAAATATTATCAACAAATTCAATAACAACATGGGATGAATTATCATTACAATTACAACGTGAATATCCAAAAGCACATGATTTATGTAATCGTTCAGTTGAATTAATAAAACAAGGTGAAAAAGATGGTTTATTATTACTAGAACAACCACCATTACAAGATAAACGACGTCCATCATCATTAATAACTGAACGTGCACGACAAAATTTAAAAACCCATCGTAAAAAAATACTTACATCATTAAAAAATTTCTTAATGAATTATAATAAATCAGCAACAATCAATGAAAATCATTTAGATAATTATCTTGATAAAACATTTCATTATTTAGAAGAACAAAAACAAGGACAATTTAAAAATTATAATGATTTAAAAGAACAATTAAAAAAAGATTTTCAAAAAAATAATCAAGAACATTTAATTGAACAAATTGTTGATGTTATCGAACAAGCACATGCAACAAATCAATTTGATGATCTTGAAAAACCTGAAGTACAATTATTAATGAAAGATCGATTAGATGGAAAACGTAGGTTTTTCTTTTTCTTCAAATTTTGTTATTATTCTTGTTTTCTTGTAGCTTTAATTATTAAAGAAATGTATGTTTCATTACCAGCACGTACTGGAGCATCGAAATATTTAAATGATGAATCATCACACTATACATCATTATTAACAACTGGTGATCAATCATTAAATAATACAACAACATCACATCGTGTTGCTCGAGGCCTTAGTTGGCGTGAGGCAAATGAACGCGCAAGAATTTTATTCTATCGTGGAAAACATCCGGCAATACATTATGATGAACAAGCAGCGGCATTTGATGTTAGAATGTTACTTGAAACAGCATCAGGTGGTACTCAAGAAATACCTGTTACCGACAGTGATGTAAGAATAAATAGATTTAGTTATTACTCGAATTCGAATATTCACGTTATTCGAGCATTATGACCTCGTCTGAATATATTTGTCTCAGACAGATCATATATTTATATCGATGACAAGTCAGTTAAATGATTTAGCATAAAAAAGATCTAAGACAAATCGACCTTCTATACAAGGTCACAGCTGTTAAAAAGATTAACTAGCCTTGTAGAAATTCTCTAGAGAACAATTTAGCCAAAAGGCAATATATCCTTCTTCTATCATCACCTGTTATTACTAGACCAAATCGGAAAGAGAACATACCAATAGGCTTTCTATGACGTCATAGACAAGAATGCCTTGATCTATATGAAAATATGTCACTTTCACTGATTAGGAGATAACTTACATTTTTTTTTTCTTTTACTAAGGTTCATGAATTACTTAATTCATGTGGTGTTCAATGGGATGGTGTTAATATCATATCATTAGTTGATCATAGTGAAGATGTTGTACGTGCTGCTGAACAAGCTGCTTTAAGAGTCATCCGAGAAAAAGGTATTGTTGATTTACGAACACCACCATCAACAAGAAATATTGATATAAATGATGATGATGATAATGAAACAATTAATTCATCTGTTACACCATCGTCATAATTTAGACATTTGTTTATTTGTATTTTCTTTATTGATGTTCAAAGCATCATTTCTCTTTCTTTCTTTCTTTCTTTCTTTCTATATATAGACTAATTACACAGTGTATTTCTTTGCACATTAACATACATAAGCATAAAAACCATATTTTGATTTAGAAAATTATGTTTTCTTGTTGTTGTTGTTGTTGTTATTATTATTATTTGTTTGAGTAATTTTAAATGAAGAGAGCGAGGAGGAACAAACATTTTTATATATACATGTATGTAAAACAAAAAAAAAGAAAAGTATAACCATTGTCCGCTTTATCGTTTTTTTTAAACTCACGTTATACATAATGTGTATTTAGTCATTTTGCGTGTGTGTGTGATTTTTTTTTCTTCAGAAATGTATTGTCGTTGTCATTTTTTGTCTTTATGAAATAAAAATCTCATTTTTTTTGGAGAATGATGCAATTAGAAATGTTCATCATTGTATTGTGCATTTAGAAAAAAAAAAAAGAAAAATGAAAGGAAAAAAAATAAAACACAAACAATGAGCGGATAACACAAAAAAAATAATATAGTAGACGTGCATATCACGACGATGCTGGTTGTTGAATACTTGATGAATCAGTTATTTCGCTTGTTGATATGCTACTACTCATAGCAGTTTGAGATGCTTGCTGTTCATCAGCAAGTTCTTGCCAACGATGAAGATTTTCCCTGAAGGAAAAAAAAGATAGATGAATATTTTGTTTATGAAAAATTATTAATATACTTAGCCCCGTCAAGCATTGGCTTTGTTTCAGGGAGAATACGGACAATCAATGAGTAGCATGGTAAACAAATACTTTTAATAAAATTCACCTAAAAAGAAAGAATTCACATATAAATTAACTAATAGAGATACAGAAAATCTATTTTTATCGTTTTGTGATACATCTCAAAATACATATTTCAATAAATCATGTCAAATATGACACTTCTGTCAGTCGATGAATAAGTATCTCAATACATGACATCACTTTCAATAAACATTGAAATGATCTAATTAATACTATATCATACGTCGGCTGAAGACTGACTTTTTTTGATGTTCGGAAAAAATAACATCACGCTATATTCTCGTTTGAATATGACATAACTTGTAAATTTCTTACTTGATTTTTTGGCAATTCATGTGCCAATGACCGGTCCATTAATGATTGTGGTTGAATACCACGTCGTTTTTCATCATCACCCTGTAGAAATAAATTTTATATTGAAATAAAAAGGAAAATAAAAAGATCCTTTCTCTCTCTCTCGCCTGCTGTTTTTTTTTCTATATTAGTTTTAACACTAAATTGATCAGTAGAAAGCAGCAGTTATACGAAAAAAAAGCACACCTCTTGCCAAAACTCGTCCATTATTGTTGTAACAACATCTTTTTGTACAGTCCAAGGTTTATACATAGCACATAGATCAACTGCTGTCATTGATAGTGATTGAAAACGTTGACTGAAGTAAAAATAATGTGTGAATATTATTTTGTTGGTTTTTTTTAAAATCATAATAATTAGTTTATTTTTTGTTAGAGAGATTAATATAGAGAGAGAGCAAGAGCGTGAGAGAGAGAGAGAGAGATAGAAATATTGAATAAATCAAATCACCTGTTGGAAGAATTCTTCCATGATGATGCTCACATTCGACCGCTGTACTTCCCAATGTTTAAACGATGAGCATAAATCAGCAGCGGTCATACTGAGCCCCATCACGAGCAGCCTAGAGATCAAAATAAGAGCAATCAAGAAGATAAAAATATCAAAAATCACAAAGAAAGAAAAACAAAAATGTGCAAGTAACAAATAAGAAAATAAGAATAGCACTAGAAAATTAATAGTATTTTTTTTAACTTACAAATGTTCTCTATTAGTCCAATTAAATTCATTATTTTCAACAATACGTTCAAGTTTTGGACGATTTTCAAAAAATAAAGCTAAATCCGTTGCTAATATACAATGCCGAATTTCATCTAACATTTGTCGATAATCTTTTGGTGAAAAATGTTTAAATATATTTAGATTATCCGTCTAGAATAAAATACAAAATTTTCAAATAATCAATTAAAGAAAGAAAAATTATTAGTTTTACTTGAAGTATCGTTACGGTTTGATTAAAATGATGTCGTTCCATTGTTGATGTTGAATAAATTGATGCAAGAGTTGATGCACTTTTAACCATATAAGCATTTGTTTTACCACGATGATCAAGATCATGACAAAGACAAGCAACAAACAAAGCAATACACTAAAAAAAATGAGAATGAAATAAATTTCCCAAACCAAAAAAAAACAAACCTCATTCGTTGTAAAATGATGTTTTGTTTGTTTTATCACAGTGTATATTGCATGGGCAACACTGAATGCATGTGACCAATTATGATAAGGAACATTACGATAATTTTTTCGTACAGTTAATGTAAATCTCATTAAACATTCCATATCAAATCTAATATAAATTTTTTTTATTAATTAACAAAAAAAGAGGTGGGGAATTTACCTGTTGACATTTATTGGATCCATATTAGCCAAATCAAGAAACATATATAGAACATGCATTGGTTTCATATCATTACCAACACTCCAGGGAGAAAATTCAAATAATTCAAGATCAGGAATGTGTCTTGGAAGTGTATACGTTTTAAAACGTTCATATTCTTCATCCGTACATGATGCATGATATGATAAGACTTCAATAGCAACTTTACATTTTTGTTCTGAACGTCGTATACGATCATAAAGTGACGCATGATGTAAAGCTAAATAAAATATTTAATGAGTTTTTTTTTTCTATAAGTTATTTATAGGTTTTCTAATTAATTCTCATATATCAGTTGCGTGTTAAATCCAACTAAATAATTCTAAGATCTCATGCTGGAAGAAAAAAACGTATTTTTAGATATTTAAATTATAACTAATATTCTATGATAATGATTAGTCCTAGATCTTTTATTTAGTTTTGAATTGGATTAGATCTATAATAGGAAATAACATTCTATTGACTTTTCTTCAAGTAATCAATAAAAAATCTTAATAGAATACCAAATATTAAGTAACAAACAAACTTTTCTATGGACTCATAAATATTTTCTTATAATATATTAATTTTTGAATGATTATAAATAAATAGAAAACTTACCAAGACCACAATAAACTGCAAATGTTTCAAATGATTCTTCATCACTTTTTGTAAAATGTCCATTTTTTTTATTAATCATTTGAACAACTCCAATAACATTTCCTTGAATCATTATTGGCATACATAAAAGTGTTTTAGTTTTATAACCTGTTTTTTGATCAATATCACTATAAGAAGAAGAAAAAACAACGAAATGTCTTTTTAATCAATAGAAATAAAAAAAAAACTCTGTCTTACCGATTAAAACGAGTATCACTATAAGCATCGATAATATTTAATGTTTTGCCTGTTGTTGCAACATAACCAGCAATACCTTTATCCATTGGAAAGCGTATGCAAGCACGATCATCTGATATTGAACGTTTTTGTATTTGTTCATCTTTATTATTAACAATTGATGATTGAGATACATCAGTTTCTTCACGGCCAATATCAAATATTCGCGCATATAATTCTTTTGTACGAGAATCAACCATAAATAAAGATGCACGATCAGCATTAACTAATTTTTTTGCATAACTCATTATTTTAAGCATAACAGCATCCATACTAACAAGCTCTTGAAAAATTGATTTTGTTACAGCTAATAAAAAATCATTTAAACGTCGTTCACATGTCATTGAATGATAAAGCTAAAATTTATTAAAATTAATTAATATAGAAATGTGTTCGAATTTAAAATTAATCAATAGAAAAACTATATCCCGTCTTCATCTTTTTTTTTCATCTATAGCGCAAAGATAGAAGAGGTTCGATCAATCAAGCAGCATAGACAAATCAAAAAAAATAAAATAAAATAATAATGAATAAATAAATAATCGATATACACACAAACAAATGTAATTAGGATATGTAATACCTCGTAATATGTTTGGGTGAAAAGCTCCTTCACGCATTTTAAAGATTCCTGAAGCAAAAGAGAAACATTAGAATAATTTTTACTAGGTTTAAATAACTATGATATCTAGTACATAACACATATTTGGATATTTAACGGAACTATTCTATATTAACACACATAAAGTACATGCTTTTGAAAAGAATAATTACGTTTGAATAACTTACTTCTTCATCTTCAGCAGAAAATGGAGTAATACTATCAGTACGATAGAATTCAACAATACCTATTGCAAAATTTTAAATTTATAAAAAAAAAGAAAGAAAAATCAAATTCAATTCATACCGAGTAGATTACCAGATGTACTGATTATCGGATGTGCCATAACTGCAGTTACTTTATCATCTTTAACATAGAGTCCGTCAGGATATTTTTCCATATCCAGCTTTTATAAAAAAATATATATATGGATATCGATAACGAAAACAAAAGATTATTGAATGATATATCTTACCGTAGACATATCACTAATTCGAACAGTTTCTTTTGACCAAGCAACATAACCGGCAATACAATGACCAGATTCAATTTGAATAGGAATAAAACAGGCTGCTTGTTCACTAAAATAATTAATTAAAGATTATTTTTGTTTTTTTAACTCCCAGCTATTAATAAACAATAATGATACTTAGATTTAATCTTTTAATCTTTACTTTACTTTAGAAATAACTTTTTTACTTTTTAACATATTTTAATATAATCTATCGTTTTACCAAATATTTATATAAAAGGTTCCGATTTCACCTTATAATCGATCTTATTGACGATTAAGTTCTTAACAAAGCAAACGCTTTTTTTTTGATTTCTTACTCATCATTTTCAGCAGAAAATAATCGCATATTGGTATCACTTTCGTCAACCAAATATAAATTGAAACCATCGGCTGATACCGCTAAATAATATTCAAGAAAAAAATAATTTAAAAAAAACGATTTTAATAATTCTATTTTACTTGTTGCAATTGATTTATTTAATTCATATAAAATTTGAGCTTTGCTGACATTCTGATTAACTTCATCAGTAAGTTCAAGTAATAAACGACGTTTATTGCTTAATTCAACTAACTAAATTTACATATATAAATAATAATCCTTATAGAAAAGAATCTTGTTTTTTTTCATACTGTATTCAATGATTTAGTTGTTGTTAATGATATTTGTTTGGATGAATCCGATGAATTTTTTCTTTTACCATCTAGATAGAAGAGAAAAAAGCAAAAGAATGTTTTTAGTCATAAAAAACTCAACAAAATACGATCATAAATCATCTAAGAACTCTCATATAAATAATTGAATAAGAATTTGATATATATTTTACCAGCAGTTTTTACTGTTGTTGTTGTTGAAATACTATTTTTATGTGATGAAACGATTGGCATCGATGTTGATGACGATGGTTGTGTTGGAGAAGATACTTTTTGAGGTTTTTTTGTCATCCATTGTTCAATTGTATTTGAATGAATATTTTGTTGTATATATGAATCAAGAAATTCTGGATGTTCACTAAGATAAAGTTTAACTGAATCGGCTGTTACAGATGATGGTGATCGTTCTGCATTAGCTGTAAACAAGAAAATAAGTTAATTTAGTTTCATTCAATAAGTTATCTATGAATTTCGATGAAAAGAAGAAGTTAATTGAATCTATAGAAAAAATATTTGATTAAAAATTTATTTATATCTTCTTAAAAGATTTCGACTTCTTGTCTTTCATGAAGATTCTTATTCATATTTTCTATCACAACGAGATTTCTTCATTCCCTCTTGACTTCTTTATGTTTTTTTTTTCTTTTTTTAGTTCATGTTCATCAATATGAGAAGCATCTCTTATTATTTCCTGTATGCTTTCAAAAAGCTAACCATTATTGTATATGGGAAGTAATAGAAGTAGAAACGATGACTTTTTTGTCTTATTCTATGTCATCTAGCAAGAAAAAACAAGCACATATACACGCACATCGTTTACAAACACGCACAAACACATATGCATTACCTTCTCACTACTTCAATTAGTCGGTGAGAAGCAAACATATGCACATATTTTTCTATTCTCATTTATGTATTACATATATATATATATATATATATTTCTAAAGGCTATTGAAGGAGTATATAAGAATACTAATAAGTTATTGTCTATTGAACATAATCAAGAAAAAAAAACAATAATAACAAAAAGACTTTCAAGAACATACCACCCTTTTTGGTCGATCTAGTTTTCTTTTTTGAATGGTCTGATGAAGAATGAGCTGAAGTGCAACATTTGATTAAATTCATGATGATCAATGTCGTAAATTTTGTCGTTGTTATAGATAAGTATCACGAAAAAGAAATGACGAAGAAAATGTTTGATAAGGTAAAAATGACGAATTGCGACACATGTCATGATCGATCGACCTCTCTTTTTTCCACCGCCAGCAACAGTAGAAACAGAAACAAAAACATAAATACACCACTAACGTCAATAAAAAACAACAAAAGTAAATATATGGGTAATAATGAGAGTGTTCGAACGTTTCAAACAGCAATAGTAGTGATGAGGAGGATGATGATGATGATGGTGATGATGAGAGAAAAAGAAATAGAAGAACGAGTGTCTTTATTAGAAGATGTAAGCAACTACGTAGTATAGAATTGTATATAGACGATCGAAGTGCGGACGAGACGCGAGGATGGTTTGTTTCGCTTATAAACCAACACTACTAGAAGGAGTTAAAGAAAGAGTTGCTGGCGTACTCAGTGGGTAGCTAGCTAGCTTGAAGACGAATAACCGAAGCGAAGGAAGAAGGATGGAATCATTCATATATTATATACTATTAACTTATAAAAAAAAGATTTCAGCATGTACTCAGATCGAATCTATTGAATACAATGTAAATTTCAATATTAAGACTTAATAATTAAATAGAAAACATTTTATAACGATACTCATCAATGATATATTAGCAAATAAATTTATAATAATTTTTTTCTAATTTGAAAGATTTTTTATAGAAAAATAAAATTTTGTTTATCGTTTTTTACCTGAATCAGAATAAGCATGATGAAGAAAAGCACCCATATTATCAAAAAATATGGTAGAAAAAAAATCTAGAACAACGATAACATAATAGAAGATTGATATAAAAGAAGAAGAAAAAAAAGTAACACTAGCAGCAACACAACAATCTCTTGTTTCCGTTCTTCTCTTTCTTCTCTCGTTGACTCGGCCCCGCTAGTAAAAAGAGTGGAAGAGTAGAGAAATATACATCATGCTACTTTTTATATACTATCGTTTGATGCGACCAAGCAGAAGAAGCTTTACAAATTATGATTGAGGATGAACACAATAATACTTCAATGATGTTAAAGCTTTTTGCTGGAAGAAATGTCGATTATCAATACTTAGTAACAAAGATAGAAATCTCTTATCTAGATTTTAGTTTTTTTTCATTTAATCGATAACAACACACACACACACACAAGGTGTTTCGTCATTGAAGCAAATGAAATTATTTTCAACTCAAATAGATAAATGCAATTATAAACAAACTAATGAAATAATATAGACAAAAACAAACTTTTCTATTCACTTAATTATTTTTTTTCCTTTAAAAAACTAATTTTATCCTGAACAACTTCGTCAACAAGATATATAAAAAAGATAATTACACAAGTAATTTTATCAGTCACGAAATCATTTTTACCTTATTTATTTCTGTTTCTCTTATAGAATCGATAAGATTCTCTCTAAATAATCGGATTAAACTTAAAAAGAAAGAAAAAAAGTTCGTTTACTAATATAAAAAGCAATTGTCGTTCGATAGATTTCGGAGAAAATAATGAATAATAGCTCTTATTTATGACAATTAAGTTAACTATCGAGTAGTATACAACAACAACAATTATAGAACTAACGAACAATTGATCTCTCTGTCAATATCAATTTTGTTTTTCTAAGTATATACTTAATGATAAATCGATTCTTAATTAGGTACTTTCAACTGAATATTTTAACATATCAATGTTTGATAATAAACCTAAATAAATCTTTTCTTTTTTTTTTCAATAAACGATCAAAAGATTTCCTTCTTATTCATAACACTTGAATGTAATCATTCGTTTTAATAAGCAAAAATCAAATAGATATATAAAAATTATTAAAAATATTTTTTCTATTAAAAAGAAAAAAAAAGAAGAACTATTTTTTCTTATTTATTTAATATGAATTAATCTTCAGATGTAGACATATTCGATTTTGAAAGTCTTCAAATAAATAAACAAATAAATAATAGAAGAAAGGAATAAAATATATGAAAAGGATCATTCATGTATAGGTATATGCATGCAATACTCAAATCCGGATATAAAAATGTCAGCGAGGACATTGTAGCTTAGAAACGCACACATATCCGTTTCTTTTTTGTTCAATGAAACTGACATGTCATGAAAATGAATTTAACAGAGGGAGCCACATTTCTGTATATATATATGCATCTGTTAGATATTTTATTATTAATTGATTTATTCAAAAAATTTCCTTTTTTTTTTTCAAATGAATATTATATAAGCACATACCTAATTTAATACGTTTGGCTGGTGTTGATGAATAAGAACTATGATCATCCTCTTCAGTCATATAATTCAAATCATCATTATCATTATCATTATCCCTTTTGGCCATAAGCCACCAACAAGATTCGTATTGATGAGGCACCGTCTTTTCGATTTGAAAAAAGTACTTCACTTGGTTTGTTATTTATTAACGTAACTCCTACGGTTTTTTTTATCAATCAGTTTGTTTGAATGAGGTAAATAATAATATTGATCGGATTTACTATGTGTGATGGTCGCCACGCCGTTGCCGACGAGGAGAGCACTCTTCTATATAGAAATGCATATGGTAGTGTGCGCGTTCTATCGCTCTTCTGTTCGTCAGCGACGTTGTCGTTCTCTTGTTTTTGTTGTAATTATTACAGATGAATGTGAAAAAAGAACGGAGAACCAGGCAAACAAATGCAATAAAGAGAGAGAGAGGAAAAAGGAAGAGAGAGAGAGAAAGAAAACAAACTAAATATAAAGAACACATACATTCAGTCACACATCCAGATCTAAATCAACAATTATTACTCGGTCTTGTGACAATGAGAAATAAAAACGAATAATATGGATAACAGACTATATAACTGCAAGATATATTATCATATATAGAAAATTTCCTCGTTAATGAAGATATATTGCATGACAAAACTCAAGATTATTATACCAGATTTACATTCTATCTAGAAATGGCATCATGTTGTGGTTGTTGTCACATTTTTTTTATATTTGCCATTTTCGCTAAAGATAACAACAAAATACTATAAAAGATGCCATTCAGTTTATTATCAACCTTTAGATTAGTGCGCGCATATATACACACACAACAAGTTCTTATTTCGTTTATCTATTTTTCTTTTCCAACAGTTATTGTAAAAAACAACTATTATAGATGATTATAGGTTAATAATGAAAATGAATAGCTTTTATTTTTTAATGTTATGTTTAGATATATAAATATGAATATTAAATATTGTAATATTCCAATGAAATATATATATATATTTATGAAAAATGCAAGGTCATTTAGATTGTTTCAATTATAATATATTACTCGCTTGGGAAATGACATGCGAATATTAGAAGACAAAATGTTGATTGATTGTATCGAATTTTTTTCTGTCATCTATCGACATATATATTGAAAAAGGAAAACGAACATATTATTCAATTGATTTCTAATATAAAATAATTATTGACTATTCTCAAAGGAGACTCTGTTTTTTTCTTCTTTTTAATATAAATTTCATATTCAAGTGTTTCATCGTTTATTCAACATTAATATTCGTCACATATTGGATACTTTATATTCAAATTTTATGAAAATCAACATTATTATTTCCTTTTTGTTATAAGAAAGATTCATCGGAGTAAATGTCAGGATACAATTAGATAATTGACCAATAATAGCGTGTCATTGAATGCATAGTAAAAAAGAAAAGACAGACTAAGTAATGTCCTTGAAATATAGACTACAAAAATGTTCTTATTTTTCCATTAATATCTATTTAGTATGACATATTATATATTTTTCGACTAGAACTTTAAAATCCTTTCAAATCTATTGCAACAAAATACTATTTTGGTTCTTCATAAACATTTATACCAAATAACTTAGTCTTGATTGATCGTTTCAAAGTTTTCTTTTATGTCTATATAAGAATTTAATAATATTTATTTAGTAATATTTATTATGTTTTGACTAGACCTTTTCATCTGATATTTTTTTTCTTCTTACTGATGCAAAAAAAAAGTTAAGTTTACTTTAAATAACAAAATAAATATATATATATAGTGTTTATTCAAATTTATTTGAAATTTTTTAAAATAAGTGTTTATTTATTTGCTTTGATCGTATATAATATTGGGAATATATTTTGTATGATATACTCTTGGTACATTTTCATTTTCAACTTCTTCATTATCAATCATACGTGTATTCTTAATAGAAAAACATACACTAATAATATTTGAAAAAGAAAAATATTTATTTTATTTACCACATAATTTGGATATACATAAGGCATTGGTACTAGAAAATTACGTCGAAAACGCCATTCAGTTACAGCTCGTTGATGCCGATCTTCGAATGGACGATGATCTATTGTAAACGATTTCTAGAAAATTAATAGAGAAAATTTTCCGTTTGAAATAAATTATTCCCTATGATAACTTACTACGGTGATAACACAACAGATAATTAATAAAAGACAAAAACCAAATCGAAATAATCCCATAGATGAAGAAGCAATAGGCGACATAATTTTTAAGAATACAGATAGAAAGAAACAATTTGTTCTAATGATTGTAAAGCTCTTCTATATATATATATATATGTGCGTTAATGTTCCTGCTAAATGTTGTGATTAAAAATAAAAAATGATGCACCACTCGATTGGATTTGACAAATAATAAAAAATTGATGAATGAGAGAAGAAAAAAAACAATAAATGTTCGATTACTCGATGGGATTCTCGTTAGATTAATTTATTTTCCCACACATACAAACAAGGGATTAATACAAATAAAAGATGTTAAATCATGATTTCTCCTGTCTGTTCTTGTCAATCGAGAAAAATATATATAAATGATCGATTCCTTTAAATTAAATTTTTAGTTGTAAGAGAAAGTATTCTTTCATC